TGACAGCTTGCTTAGTTTCTTGCATCTCCCCTGGGAATGAGGGTTCTTAGAGTATCTGATTGCTGCAGCATGCTGGCCACCCCAGCTAGCAATACTGAAATATCTTGAGGACTGCTGCCATGCTCCCACAGATCAACAGTGCCTCGAGTTGGGGTGAGGAGGGAAGCTCATTGCTGTTACCTCTCAAAGCTCATTGCAGCCGCCCTCCTTTCTACCCCAGGTCTCCATGCCTCCAACCCAGGCTTTGGTGGTCCCCTTGGGAGTTGCACCTGTCTCTTAAATGGACCGCTGCTACTGGCCCCACTCCCTGGAGTCCATCCACTTACTGGTCACCATGGGAGCTGAAATTTCACTCTGATCATTTTACTCCCCTGCTTAAACCATCAGTGGCTCCCTACCACCCACAGGAAAGAGGCCAAAGAATCCATTCCTTTCGTATGCAGGACCACAGAAGCACCTTCCCTCCAGTGCCCTGTGAGAGATCTGGGTCCCTGAATACTTGCTTCATTTTCTGGTCTTTATGCCACTGTTCACACTGCTCTCTTGGCACTGAATGTCCTTGTCCCATTTCACCTGGCAAAATCCCACCCTGCATTCAGGACCCACTTCAGATGTCATCTCCTCTAGGAAGTTTGGCCTACTTTCCCAGCTGAAAGTGGCCACTCCTTTTTCTGTATTCCCACGCTACTGGGATCGTTTCCTCTAAACTCCATCACCAGCCCGGGGTGCTCACTTCAGCCTTCTAGAAGCACTTGCAGTTCCTTAATCTCCCCGTGTTCTTCCCTCTGTCTGCCCACCCTTCCTTCCACACCTTCCTTTCTCCTGTTTTCACACTCCTCTTGCAAGTGTCAGCTTTGAAGTCAGGCCTTGACCCCTTTCCCCACCTGTTCTCACCTAGTACCGCTGGGAAGCCCTCTGGACCTCCCTTAGCACCCACTTTGGCAGTTTTTGCAGTTGTGATGCAACTGTCCATTGTCCCTGTCTCTCTGTCTGGGAGAACCTGTTGGGTCACAGCTGGGGGTGGGGAGGGAGTCTGCTTAGCCAGGTGTGATCAGACAGTGAGGGCCACAGAAACTCAGGAGGGGACAGGTGGCTTTGTGTCAGTGGGTGTAAGGATGCAGAGCCCTCTCCCTGTAGCCTGCATGGTTGGAAAAGGCCCTCCCATCACCCTCTCAATGAATACTCATCACAGTGTAGCAGAATAGGCACCTGCCAGAGCTCCTTCAGTGAGAACCCATCCAGGCAGTCAGGAAGTGTTAGTGGATCTGATAATTGTGCACCAGGTACAGAGTCAGGAGCGGGGTGGGGGATATGGCAGTGGGCAGGACAGACCTCTAGTCCCTGACCCTGGGATCCTCAGGGGGGAAAACATTAAGCTACTAATTTCAGTTAATTGTTTAGTTACAATTATGATAAATTCTAGGGAGGAGAAAAATGAGGGGGCAGAGGATCACATAATGAGGGACATGACTGAATCCCCACGTCTCATTCCTCTCCCAGCCACCCCTCCCCCGCCCCACCCCCAGCTGCCTCCTCCCAGTACCTAGCGCTGCATTGGAGTTTAACTGCTTTCCACAATATTTACTGTTCTGCCCCTGTTGACAGTCCTAATGGATTCTGCAGATTAAATAATCTCAGCCCAGCCTCGAGCTGTATTGGGATTGGCCCATTAGACAATGGCAGAAGCCGCCCCAGTCATTGTTCTAATTGAATAATTTGCTGTAAATCGCCTCCATTTCCTTCTGAGCCCAAGCTGGCTTGTTAGCCAAATGGAGGTGAGCTAGGGCTGCCTCTAATGGGATGTAGGAGCAGAAATGAGCTGTCTAAATGAGCCGTTGTCTCATTGGGCATGGAATTAAATCAGAGACACTTAAGGCTTCAAGTCCTTCTTGTAAACTAGCCTCTCCTGGGATGGGAAGGCATAGCCAAGAGCCTTCAGAATAAAGGCTACAAAGCTCCAGGGTGAGATTTCCAATGAGTTAGGAAGGGCTTTGGGTGGGGTTAGGGGTTGGGGCTGGAGGTAATGGAGTTTCCTCTTTCTTGCTAACTTTTGTATGTGTCTTTTCTACCCCTCTCATGGGCAAGACAGCATCTCTGCCCTGAGATACATTTCTCAATAACTCCTTCCATGGGGAGGAACACTTCTTCTTGAAGCTACCATGTGTCAGGCACATGATTTTTATTTTATTTTATTTTATTTTATTTTATTTTATTTTATTTTATTTTATTTTATTTTATTTTATTTTAATCTATTAGGGGCTTTTGCAAGTGATCTCATTTAATCTTTATGAAGCTCCTAGGAGGCAGGTATAATGGAGGGAACCACATTCATGGGTGTTCATGATTTTCGCAAGGTCAGGTACCAATCTGGTACAGAGTCAGGATTTGAATCCAGATCTGTCAGACCCCAAAATTCAAGTTCTTTTTGCAATAACATTGAGGACAGACAGTGTGGGGCAAAGGGGCTACTTTGAATCCACTCCCTGACATGCTATGTAGCTTTGGAGGTGTGTAATCGGAATCTCTCTGCTCAGTAGGATGAGTCCAGCGCAGGGCAGTAGGGGAGGCGGCTGCCGGGAAAGCAGCCTTTGGGGGCTTTCCTGAGGGCTGCATGCTTGAAATAGGCCTCTCTATAAAGCTAGTGACACTTTAGGCTTTAGCTGGGACTGTGGTTTCCTCATCTCCTGATCCCTTTGGGGCCCACAACTATCCACACGATTCTCGCAAAAGGAACCAAGAAACGAGGAACAGAAGACACGTCCCCACTGTCCGTGCCTGTCTTCTTTGTACCCTTTGACTGCAGTCTTTGCAATCTGCTTCATTTCTGCAGGGACCGTTGTTCTGTCCTCCGGCTGTGTTATTGAGAGCCGACACTAGACGAAGCTGGAGGACACTCACAGTCCTTCCGGGAGATGGGAGCAGCGGGAGGCACTGGTGACCGGGAAGAGGGCTGGCTGGCTGTGAGGCTTTGGGGCTGGGTGTAGTTGCCACCATGGAATGGAGTCGGGCTTCCTGTTAGCAAATGCCGGACATGGGCCACTCGTTTGTTACCGTCATCATCTCCACCTGCTCTAGCACCTCCCCTCTAAATCCTAAAACCTTGATCCTAGTCCTCTGTCACCTACCAGCATTGTGATCTTGAGCAACGCATATGCCTCCACTGAATTTCTGTGTCATCAGTAACAGGGGGATGGTGATAGTATTCAATGAGTTAACACCATATGAGGCATTTAGAACAGTGCTTGGCTCATGGTACACACTCAGTAAATATTAGCTCTTATTATTGGTGGAGACATTTTATAAACATCAGCTGGGTTAAACTCTTGGTCCTTCCTATCTCACTTTCCAGATATTCTCTCTTACCTGGGCCTCATCCGCACTGAATATGAGCCATGGCTCTCCTGAGAGCCAATCTGACTCATAATGCTGGCTTCAACCATGCAGGTCATTACGTAGGGTCCTGGGATCAGTCCCACATTGAGCAAGATTTGGTTTCAGGCATCAAGGAGTCTTGTCCTACTGGGGGAAAGAGGCAGGCATAAATAATATAGTCTGTGAATAGGTCCTTGGTACAGATGCTTCCCAAATGTCCCCAAGAGGCTTCTCTAGCCTCAGGGAAAACATGCAATCACAAGAACCAAGGTTTTGTTTGCTGGAAGGCTCCACTGGCACAACTCTGGGAGGCTATGGGTGAAATGGTTGAACAAGGACGTCTCATCAGGGCATTTAAGCGAAATCAAGATATATCAGGTTTATTGTTGTGTTCCCCTCGGCTAGGAGCCCAGTGGTCCCTAACGAAACGGAAGCAGATGACTTGTTCCTACTGTGCTCTAGCTGGCTTCTGCCCAAAGGGCTCACAGATCAGCAGTTAGGCATCTGTTCTAGAATTTCATGGTCACCAAGCTATGTTTCTAGAATCTACCTCTTAGAAATTCACATCATTCTCTTGCATCCTTCTGCTCATGACCGCGCTCCCTTTTTCTAGGTCCATCAGATATGACTTGATCAGATCCAAAGGTCCTCCAATACCAAGGGCATGCTTCATCTCCTCACAGAACCCTAACTGCTTCACACTTCAAAAGGGCCTTGCAGCTTCCTTACCGTCTCCGTGTCCTCACCTGGCATAAGCTCAAATTCCTTCTTGACTGTTCTTACTCTGTACCCCTTTCTTCTTTGTGACGGAGATGGAGGTAAAATAAGATCTGCTTGCTCACTGCTATCTGATGACGTCATAGCATTCACTCTGAAAAGCTGGTATTTCCCTTTTGAGTTCAAACAAATTGGAAAGGGAACAGTTACCTCCTTTTGTTGTTTTTTTCTTTTGTGCCATCCTTTTGTGCCTGCTGACTCACTGGGTTTCAAAAATATACTTTTTCAGTGATGATAATAATGCTAGAAATAACAATGGTGATACTCCTGATGTTGATGGGCACTATCAAAGCTTTATATGCTTTGTCTCATTTGCTGCATCTCCCTCAACCTAGCTGACCACAGGGCAGTATACAGTGGACTCTCTGGGCATAAGAATAACAAAGGCTACTATTTATCGAGCTCTCACCCTGGCCTGACACTTCCATATTCTTTATGTCTGGTCATTGCTGTAATAGCCCTGTGCAATAGATATTATTACTCTCAGTTACAGATAAAGAATTAGGGCTCAGCAGAAAGGTACTAAAAATGTGTTCCACTTATCTTTTCAACAGACCCATAGAGTGCTTGCTGCATGCCTGGCTCTTGGCTCAGTGCTAGGAGCACAAAGGGTCCCTGCCCTTGAGGGGTTCATAGTGTGGTGGGACCCACAGACTGGGAGACAGGCAGTGGCCATGAGTCTCTGGAATTACACAATTCCCTAGTTTATTCTGAGCTCCTGTCTCCCATACTTTTCAGATCAACTGTCTTATTCTTTATTCCAAGCATCATAAAGGGTACTTTATGTCCAGCGTGATCACTATTAATTAAAGTCCTCCTCCGCTCTTTTCTCATAAGGGTCATTTGTAATCATGGAGTAAGAGTTTAATTTTTCTGGACTTATCTCCCTCTTCTCAGCTGTTATCTTCCCACAAGCTCATACTTGCGTTTTCCCTGAAAGTCTTGAAATCTGCTGTCCTCAAGCACAGGGCAGGCTGGGTGATGGCCAACCCTTCTTCTGTTGCTTTACCCAGGCAACGGTGAAAGAATCTCCATTTTCCTCAGGGAGAACTTCCTCATCAGCTTGGAGAAGGAGGTGGCAGAGAGGAAGAACAAGGAAGGGACAAGGTAACAGGAGGAGTCAAACAGGTGGGCAGCTGATTGGATGGAGGAAGGGCACCATTGTCTTGGTGCAACTTTCGAGGCACAGACAAGCCAGGTGGGTCCTCAGTGCTGGGACAGAGGCCCCTGGAACCTGGTTTATCTTTAAGACTGCTTTTGGCTGTCCACTAACAAAATTTTCACTTTAAACAACAAGGACTTTATCATCTTACATAACAGGGAGGCCTAGGGGTCGGCCAGACTCCAGGGTTCGTTGATTCAGTGGCTTAGTGACCAGGGACCCAGATTTATTATTCTCCCAGCTAGGTCCTCTCTTGATTGCAAGCTGGTCTCCAGCAGCAATGATGTGACGTATTTCCTTGTTCAGGTCCAATGGGAGAGATACTGTCTCCTGTGGTTCGCAGTTAGGAGAAAGAAAACTTTTTGTAGAAGCAATCCTGTCATGGCTCATTGGTCTGAATTGAGTCCCATGCCTATTTCTGAACCAGTTACTAGCAGTTCGAGTGAAATTATATCATCTGAAGTAGAATGGATTTTGGGAAGCAACCACTATGCCCACTACTGTGTCACATTTCCCATGCATAATCGACATGAATAACCCAGTGCTGTGATGGTTATAGAGAATTAGCATGTAGACTTTCCAGATTTAGCAAATAATACAGGCTGCCCAGTTAAATGTGAATTTCAGATAAACCATAGATACTTTCAGAGTATGAGTATGTCCCATGCAATATTTGCTGGTCTGTGTGTCCCTGTGTTTGGTACAAAGCAAGATGGGTCAGGCAAATGTTTGATATTGGGAGATAAAAGATTGTAGGGATTCATGGTGAGCTTGGGACGTTAGACTAAGTCCTGCACTACTTGTGAGGGCAGTAGAGTGTAAACCGGTTCAAAAAGGAGAGGAGGGTTAGGGGGCCTTCCCTCCATAGCTGCCTTGGCTCCT